AAGAGTGTTCTTCCTTTGGCTTCTTGGGCTGTGTCTAGACCGCAGGGTTTTTTTGGAAAAACTTCACCTGCGTCTAGACTACAGCTGCGTTCTTTTGAAATTAAATCAAAAGAACGCGGCTTTTCTTTCTATGGCGGTACCCCTCATTTCACGAGGAATAATGCCTTTTTTCGAAAGTGCTCTTTTGAAAGTACTGATTGTAGTCTAGATGCTCTTTTTCGAAAGTATCTTTCGAAAAAGCCTCTTGTGAAAGAGGCTTGCGGTCTAGACGTAGCCTTGCTGTGTAGACAGCACCAAAAGCCGTACTAGACCATTTCGACATCAGCCATGCAGTTGACATAGCTGAAGTTACGTATCTTAATTCGACTTTTGCCCTGCAGTGTATATGTGCCCTGATAGGCTGAGAGTTAAGATGGGTTTAATTATATACAAGGTGCTTTAATAGAAAAGAGATTCAGGGTAAACACTGCTTTTTGTTCATTTATTAGAGTAAGTGGGAGGGGGCAACGATGCAGTTCAGGAACAATAGAAAAGGCTGGTATCCTGTGGAACTGAGTGGTTTTCCTCTAATCCTGCTACAAATGACTATTAATTGTACACCTTCATTAATAAAGGTTAACGAATCCTCACAAAACCCCTGTGAGGTAGTTGGTAGTATTCCAGCTTGAAAAGGAGAAACCATCTGCATTACACATCCTCACTACAGGGTTAGCCTGGGTGATCAGCACTAGCAGGTTGGCCTAGCCTGGATGTGAGCAGCTAGAAATGCAAAGCCCCACCTGAGTAAGTGTGTTCTCTTGGTGCTGTACTCCTCTGTGTGTGTCACCCAGACTTCTTGGGGCACATCCCATGTTCTTCGGACTGCAGATAATCTGAGCTGCTCTGTGATTCTTTCCCAGGGAATTGTGTGTAAAATTGTTTCTCCTGGGCAAGTGAGAATTGTGGGAAGGTGCTGGTGGATTACCAGCACTCATACAGTGTGGATACAGACTGAGTTACCAGCCTGAGAGAAAGTGGCACTAGTGGGCTGGCCCATATCTTCAGCTCGGCTAGCTAACCTGAGTTTAAAGCACCATTAACTTCAAACGAAAGGTTTTTGTGTGTGGATGGGGAAGGAGCATGAGACAATGCCCAAGTAAGAACTGAGTTAACTCCGTAGAGAAGAGACACTTGGGATGGGGGCAGGGCCCAAAATAATTTGCTAGTATGTCAAAATCGATTGATAACAGTTGTGATTGGTATTTAGCATTTCTGGCTTCCACTCCCATCAGTACTGCCTCCACAGATGTAAAGTTTAACCCTTTAATTTTCATTTTGCACATAAAAGTAAGATTAATGGTTGAGTAGGAAGCAATAAAAGTAGAAAGATTAAGGGCCAATCCTGTTACTTTATCTTCAACTTTAATTTATTGTGCTTGAGTATAGCTAGTGGGTTAGAAGAGAAGAGATTTTCAGAACATGATGCACTATTAATTTGTAATAGATGAACTTAAAGTGCAATTAAACAGTATGTATTTCCATTTTGTCAATCTAATAAGACAAAATGAAAATTATATTAGTTTAAACACTTCATATATTTTCATATTGTCAACCTTAAACTTCAATTTAATTCTTGAGCCATAAGTATAGTGAGTTTATGAAAGTCCAGCTTTTACAGTCCAGAATTTTAATAAAATTCTTCCACGCTTCCATTGATTGGAAAGTTATGTCCATTTTAGATTCAACCATTGGAAACTAAATGAGTTAAATTTAAACACTAGAAATAATAATTTTTCATTCCACTCAGATGTTTTGAGTTTCTTGCATCTCACAGATGTCTTTGGAAGATTACATTTAAGTACCCGAATGGTAATGTTCTTGGAGGAGTGCATTTGTTTGGAAAATACATTTTGCTTTGATAAGTTAGTAAAAAAAATAGTTTTAAAAAATGGAGTCTACTCCCATGTGGTGATGATGAAAGCAGCTAACAAACTTCAGAGAGATCTGACAAGACAATAAATCAGAAGTGTTGTCAGAGTTCCTGTTTAGAAGGTGACCGACTTAAGATTTCACTTGTACTTCTCACAGAGAAGGGGAACTTTTGCATTTATAGCTCAAAATAAGGGTCTGTCATTGTTCACTAGGAACCAGATGTTAGGGTACTGCTTCCTTTTTTCAGTGATTGCATTTTGCTTCAATAGCAACATTCAGACTGTCTTCCTCTTTTTTGGTTCAAACGAGGTGAGTCGGAATAGTCATTACAAGTAGCTGTCATTGATTCATTTCAAAACATTAATTTTAATTAGTAACCCACTTTTTCTAGATTGTAAGAACTGTAAAATAGTTTGTGATAAAGATAGAAGTAAGCACTGTTCTTGCTGAGGGAGAGGCTTTCATTTCCAATACTAACTTTATAGGGTTGTTTTTGTTTTGTTTTGTTTTGTTTGTTCTTTTACTTAAATGATGCATAGTGACATGCCTAGTTACTATTGAAATAGCAGGATTTTTACTGGAAGTCCTGTAGTCCATCTTATTCAGTTACAAAGATTTAAGCAATGAGAAATTGAATGATGTACAATAAATGAGAGATAGGATCAGATACTGACCAATGAGGGGATAAAACAAAATATCCAAAAGCAAACTCCTTCAGGGAGCATGATCCAGTGCAGTGAACGTGACAAGTGTCCTATGGAGGAAGTGTGATTAAAAGATGAGATATAATCTGCATAGGGTATGAACTGAGATTTCATAGGCAGAAATTCCATCATGTGGCATCACTTTTGCCCCCTTCCTAAGGCCTGGCTCATTCCAGTCGTCTTTTCCTCCAGGTTCTGTCTGAGTCCTACCTTTTTTTCCAGGGCTCCGTGTCTGATCTCAGCCTCTCCCAATCTTCTTCCCCAGCTACCCCACAATTTTGAGTTGCCATTGGCTACCCCTACCCTCCCATTGGCTCACGGTCTCCTTGACCAATAGGTCCTCTTCACCCCATTGTGGCCCTAATCCCTTTTTCCTTCAAGTCCAGCTGTTTTGGTCTTTGTACTGCCTAGAGAGATTGGTTCCCAGCTCTCAGTTCCTGTGTTTGGTGCCACTGTAGAAGAGCAGTTAATACTGTGTGTGTTATTAGGTGGGAGGAGGGGAGGGTGCCAAAAAGCACATCCCATCCGAGTTTAAAATCTCTATTCCAAAGCATGGAGGTACTAGAGCTTCTCAACAGAATGGTTGGAGGGATAATTTAACGTGAGTAAAAATTTTATTTTTCCCTAAACTCGTTCCGGGGAAAAAGCTAAATAAGTTTTGCTGTAATCTTCCAAAAATAGCTGGGACAGAAATAGGACATGGAAAATAGCAGCCTACTAGAGTGGCACAGTTTATAAGCAACTGAAAGAGGATCTTAGAATGGAAAGACTTAAACATCTTTAACTGTAGGTGTTGCAACCTGCACAAGATAACTTTAATTCTGGCACTAGCTAACTTTAGAATGTTCAACTTTGTAACCTGTAACTTTTTTAAATATATAGTTTTTGTATATACATGTGTTTGTATATGAATTGTCCATATATTATATACATATACACACAATCTATCTTTAATCTATAGTTATACCATAGATATAATCAGTGCTTTTTTGTTTAAAAAAAAAGTGCCGGTAGGCCAGGGGAAAAGTTGTTGAGCTCTGATTGGAGGTACCGGTACTACATCTGGAGGTGCTGGTACTGCGTACCAGGCAGTACCCTCACAAAAAAAGTTACTGGATTTAATCATATATATATATGTGTAACCAGTCATAAATGTAGGGCTGGAAGGGACCTTGAGAGGTAAAGTCCAGGCCCTGCACTGAAGCAGGAGAAAGTATACCAAGACCATCTCTAACAGGGTTTGTCCAACCTGTTCTTAAATCTCCACTTGGTGATTCCACAACCTACTTTGGAAGTCTGCGGCAGAGCCTAACTGCCCTTAATACCTAACCTAAACCTCCCTTGCTGCAGGTTAAGCCGGTTACTACTTATCCTACCTTCAGTGGACATGGAGAACAGTTGATCACAGTTGTCTTGATAACAGCCCTTAGTATATTTGAAGACTTTTATCAGGTCCCCCATGAGTCGTCTTTTTTTCTCAGGATTGAACATGTCCAGTTTTTTAATCTTACTTCCTAGGTCAGGTTTACTATAGGGATGTTAAATTTAGATTAACTAATTGGATAGTTGATGGGATTTCCCTGCAGGGCTTCCTTTTTAAATGAGTCCTGGTAGGGCTCTTGTGCATTTCAAAAGCAGAATCGCAGTAGAAGCGGCACAAGTGAAGACTGCTTCAGTCCCTGCTCACTGTCCCTGCTCCCTCTTTCCCATTGTGCTTCTGCCTCCCCTGTCCCCCGCGGAGATGATGTTGCAGGAACCAGCTTTTAAGCCATCTGCCCCCAGCACCGGCTCCTGCTCGCCCATCCCTTGCTGCTTCTCTCTGATACAGGCAGCAAGCGGGGGAATCAACTAGTCGCATCACTAGTCAACTATCTGATAAGCTTATGCTTGTCAGATAGTCAACTAGTCACTTACTTCCCTAGTTTACTAAAGCTGCTATTATTTTTGTAGCTATCCTTTGCACTCTATCCAGTGTGTCCACATCTTTCCTAATATGTGGTGCCCAGAACTGGGTACTATTCCAGCTGAAACCTCACTAGCTCGGTGTAGAATTGGACGATTACCGTCTTTGACTTACATATGACACTGCTTTTAATGTACCCTAGAATTATGTTAAACTTTTTTAACAACTGCATCACATTGTTGACTTGGATTCAGTTTGTGATCCACTATAACTTCCAGGTCCTTTTCAGCAATACTGTTCCCCATTTTGTAGTTCTGCATTTGATTTGGTTTTTTTACTTCCAATATGTACTATTTTGCACTTTCACTGAATTTTACTGAATTTCATCTTGTTGAATTTAGACCAATTCTCTAATTTGTCAGTCATTTTGAATTCCCATCCTGTCCTCTAAGGTGCTTGCAACTCTTTCAGCATGGTGTCATCTGCAGACTTTATAACAATGCTATCCACTCCCTTACCAAAGTCATGAATGAAAAAGCCAAATAATACAAGACCCAAGACCGATCCCTGCAAGGCCATGCTAAATGCAGTTTGACAGTGACCCACTGATAACCTCTTTGAGTAGGGGCTTTCAGCCAGTTGGACATCCACCTGTTACATATACTTTGTTGTTATGTAAAGAGTCTGTGGAAAACATGCTTGGATCCCTTTTCTTGGAGTTGATTTCTGGATGTGATTATCACCACATGGTTGTATGTAAACAAACTAAGGGATGCTATTAGTAAATGTTTGTCATACAATGCTATCATTTTTACTTTCTATGATTTTTTGTTATCATTTTGTATTCCATTTTTATGTTGTATGTTTGTTTTCAGTTGGGTTTCTGTTGTTTTTTATTTTGAGCCAGGTAGCTTGGCCAAAGACACCGGCTCTCAAACATTTTCTGTTACTTACATTCCATTTTTGTGCTGTACCAGAGTTGGTGATCATGCTTCATCGGTGGAAGAGATAAATGAAAGCCGCTGGCTGTACTTCAGGTGACATTGGTTTCCTCAGTATAAAATTAACCTGGTGCTTGGCTTTCTTCACTTTTCTAACCCAAAGTCTGTGTTATCTTTCTAAGCTATGCCATGCTGCTGTTTTTCAAATGAGAGTGCATCGTTTCTGTAATTCTGAATTAGCTTAATTCATGGAGCTGAAAGGGTGTGGTTCCCACAAGCAGGCTTTACTCTTTTTTATTTTGTTCTATATTTCCCCCTAAAATCTGGATAACAGATTCCTTCTATCCCACCACACACTTAGGAAAGAGAGTTAACAGGTTCTAGCTTCAGCTAACTTCTGTTATGTTGGAAGTCATGAGTTTGATCATATAATCCTTACTGCATGTGGCCTACATGACTTCCAAACGGATTACTTGCAAGAATAACATCAACTCACATAAGGGTTGCAGGACTGTCCCTTATTGGAATTCTCCCAAAGAAAGGGCTAATCAGACCTAATGTATTGAGTTCAATGGGATAGGAATCAAGATCAGTTTCCAAATGTCCATGAACTGATAGACAGGGTCTGTTGTGGGCTGCTGAAGATGTACAGAGTGTAACAAATTACATTCCTTTGGTGCATCTTTAATGAGTCCTGTGGTACCACAGGAGTTCCCAACCAATTAGTTGGTTTTTAGAGCCACAAACAGACCAACACTGAAACAAGTTGCAGTAAGAACCAGAGTAGTTAAAGTACTACCAACACTCAGAGTTTAGACTATGATAAATTCTTGCCCTCCATTTCAGGCTTTCGGAGGACTGGACTTGGGCAATATCACCATGTATTGGAGCTGCTCTGCTTATGGCCCCATGTGGAGTTTCTCAGAGTTAGGATCAACCAGGTTTTTAAAAGTGTTTCTTGCCAATTTATTTTCATGTTAACTTTCCCTGTGGGTGCATCTACACTGCACCATAACTCAAAATAAGATACGCATTCTGAGATACACAATTTAAGTTTCTTAAGCTATTTTGAAATAGCATTGAATTATTTCCTCATTTTAATTTCAAAATAAAGCGCTATTCCAAAACATCCCTTACTCCTTGTACAATGGGGTTTACAGAGATGTCGGAATAGCGAGCCTGAAATAACGGGCTTGCTGTGAAGAAATGGGATGATAAATATTTTGGGATACTTTGGTATCCCGAAATAGCATTGCAATGTAGATGTACCCTTTGAGTTTGTTCTGGAGATTTGTGTGTGGGCAGAAGTCATGATAGTAGCACAGGGGCTGGGCCAGAGGTGGGCAAAAGGGCCTCCCCGGGCCAGATCCATTCTGCCAAGTGGGTTGATCCAGCTTGTGGAGACCCTGCCACTCTCCTTGCTCCCAGGCCAATTAGGGCCTGGAGGTCGGGGGGGAAGCACACGAAGTTTCCTCCGCCCTGGGAGGAGACGTGGTGTTTAGAAGCAAGCACATGCTAGTGGCAGGGAGGGAGGAGGCTTCACACGCTCCCCTGCCTCCAGGCCAATCAGGGTCTGGAGGCAGAGGGAGTGTGCAAAATCTCCTCCACCCTGCAAGGAGCACACGGCGCTTGGAAACACAACACGCTCCTGGCAGGGTGGGAGGAGACTTTGCGCACTCCTCTGCCCCCAAACCCTGATTGGCTTGGGGGCAAAAGAGGGAGTATGCTAAGTCTCCTCCCACCACCAGGGGCATGGGAGCCTAGGGGGAACCTGGGAAGAGGGGCAAAGGTGCTCCCCCACCTCCAGACCAATTATGGTCTGTGGGTGGGGAAGCCTAGAAGTATCCTGGCCCCGCCCCTTCTGTTTCAGGCCCTGCCCCTTCTGGTGCGGCCCAGGGCCACTTAAAAAATTTCTGATGTGGCCCACAGCAAAAAATTATTGCTCACCCCTGGGCTGGGCTCATGTGCTCGGCTTTAGGGTCACAGGTGGCACATCTGAGCAGTTACTATGGCACCAAGAGTGATGCTGTAATTCTAGATCCCTTCCAAACCACGTTGGTTAAGGAAATGGCAATGAAAAGGAAAGGTTGGGAGTTAAGGAACTCAGTTGGCAGATGAAAGCTCAATGATAATCCATTTACTAATTAAAACATGTCTTAAAGATTAGCTCGGCTTTAGGGTCACAGGTGGCACATCTGAGCAGTTACTATGGCACCAAGAGTGATGCTGTAATTCTAGATCCCTTCCAAACCACGTTGGTTAAGGAAATGGCAATGAAAAGGAAAGGTTGGGAGTTAAGGAACTCAGTTGGCAGATGAAAGCTCAATGATAATCCATTTACTAATTAAAACATGTCTTAAAGATTAACTGGTCATAGTCTGAAAATAGATAAATATTCTCATACGGGGCCACTTAAATTGGCTCTAAATACTGTTACTTGGTTGTGTCTGTGTAAATTCCACTGAATATTCCAAGACCAGAATGAAAATGGTGACTAAAACAGTTTGTAGTCATCTGGTTTTACGTACCAAAACAAGGAATTGATTCTGAAAGGAGAAATTCATCTTCTATTGGCCAAATCTTTGTTGCCAAAGCAAACACTGCGCCTGTGCAATCCTAGGAACCATATGTTGCAGCTATGGATTGTCAGCGTGTATAACAGAGAAAATAGTAATGTGCGCTGGGATTACACTGCCTTGCTGTTGGCTGCATTGCGGCTGACATGCCCTTCAGTTCACATTATCCAATCAGTGCCTACACCAGGGGTCAGCAACCTTTCAGAAGTGGCGTGCCGAGCCGAGATTTAACTTATTCACTTCTATTTATATACTTTTTAAAGTCAATAATAGCCCTCCTTATAGCAGCTTCATTAATAAATTAAATAAAGATGCAGCTCTTACCATTTTAGTAACACAGGATTTAAAAAAATCATTAAGATCAGAGTTTTAGATATCTGCAGCACTCCAGAAAAATTCTGTTAAAAGAATCTTTTTCTTTCTTATGTTGGGATACATGGGCTTAATTTTTGGCGCTCTCTCAGACTTCTTAAGTGAGCTCAGGTAAGCCTCCAAGGGCACATCTACACTACAGCTGGAGGTGTAAATTACAAGTTAAGGAGAAATACACACACTAGTGTTAGCTGAGCTAGTGCCCTGAGGGTAGGTCTGCACTGCAGTTAAAAACTTGCTGGTCTAAGGTGTGGAACACACACACCTCCTGGGAGCACTTAGGGGAGCTAAAGGTGCACTGAGTGTCTGAATGTAACACTGAGCTGGTTGCAATTTTTAAAGTTTTTTTTTTTTCTCTTAGGGAGCCAGAAGGACTCAGTTTTGTTTTAGAAAAAAGTCTTGTCTCAAACTGTCAACATTGTCAAAATGATTCCTCTTGTGTAAAAAAAAATGTCATGCCTTTTCACTAACTTAAACTTCAGTCTTTTATAATTAGTTACACCAGTTTTTGGAGGAGTTTTTTGTAAAGGAAAAATTTCACTAACTTTTTTAGGAGACGCGGGGAATAGAAAAGATGTAGGACACTTTGAAAAAGGGGAAAAATAAAAAGAAGGGTCCATTTGGCACACTTTGAAATGAAAATGAATTCATAAGTTAATACGTTGTTTTTCCCCTCTGTGAAAATAGGTCGTCATATTTCAGTCAGTTCTGGTAACCTAGGGAAAAATCACGAGTTATGCTTTTGTTGACAATTCCCATGGCATGCATGCCTTTAGCTTTGTTTCTTAGATCTATGCCCAGATATACAGAGGTATTTGGGTGCCTAAAGAGGCAAACACATGCCTAACCTGCTTTGCACTCCAGAAAACCCCGGATGTCTAACTCCCATTAAGTCAAATGAAAATAAATGCAATTTCCATTAGGCACCTATCTGTCTCTTTAGGTGTTTATAAATCTAAGCCAATAACACCTCCTTATCTTGCTGCTCCATTTCCAGCAGAGCAGCTCCTGTTAGCAGCTGCATGAAACACAATGCCCCCTGCCAATTAGCTGAACTCCCTGCCTGCCCCAGCGGGTTGTGAGGCTCCAGTGGCAGTGCAGGCTCCCTACTGTGCCAGGTAGGGAGTAGGGGAGGACTGAGCTTCCTCCCTTGTGCCAATGAAAATCTGCTCATGAGCCACTGATGGCATGCATGCCGTGGGTTGCTGGCCCCTGGACTAAACCAATGTATGCTTGTTCATCTGGCTTTCCAGCAGGCTATTTCAGTGAAATTTCAAGATGACTGGGCTGCCACCGTTACTGAGCACCTGGTATATAAGAGCTAATCCAAGTAAGTCAGTCCAGCCCTGTACAAATTCAAAGGTCCAGGAACAAATACTGACTTTCATAGCAATTGATCGTCATAATTGCTTATGGAGCATCCAAGTAAAGGGAAACCACTTTGCTTTGAGAGACTTTTCTCCGGCATCACGTGCTTTCCTTGACCTGAACTGGAACTCTGCCTTGAACCTAAAGTGAACTAGACTATTTCATTATATTCTCAGCACTAAAATTTGATGGTGGGAATAGCAGGATTTGTTGTGAATTGTAGTTAAAGATGACTAATTATTTGGTGCTTGCTTAACCACTAATGGCCAATATCTTTGTGGGAGTAATATTGACAAAAACTAGCATTCGGATATTTAAACTTTAGAAAAGGGACTTACTTAAAGGATAGAGCTAGTCATAAAGGCTCTTAAGTCAAGCGAAGAAATAAAAATCCTTCTACTTTGCATACTTTTAATAAATATTCCATAATAGACGCCTGAGGCACACATTGCCCCCTAGACAAAAAAAAGGGGGAGGGGAATTTAGCTTGGTTAAATGTTAAGGTGCAAGAGATTATTTAAACCTCAGAGGCATCTGACAAAGAATGGAACTCTAAACTAAATAAAGCCAATAGGAAAGAATATAAATTACAGTGGGTAAAATGGGAATTATGAGGGATAAGCGAATTTGAAGAACAAGTAATCAAAGATATTAAACAAAGAGGTTTTTTTGGGGAAGACCACTTTATAATGAAGTGAGGTTGTATTGAAGTTGGGAAGTAAGGAGATAAAACACCAAAGACTTGGAGGGGCTGGTGAGTATGAACTAATAAGGAGCAAAGGAACCAATTAAAAAAGAGAAAAACATTGAATCTAAATATTTTCTTTGTATCTCTCTCCACCACAGAACTGAATAGGGAGACACATATCCTTTTTTTTAGGTAATCACATGAAGTACCGTCAGAGACAATGATCTCAAAAAGAAGAGCTGCTACAATAAATTGATAAAAAGGAAAAACTCACCAGGCCCTGTTAGTACAAGCCCAAAAATTTGAGAATGAAGTGGCTGAGATGCAAAGAAAAATAAACACTTGCCTTAAAATCAGCTACTACTGGAGGACACCAAATATTATACCTGTTAAAAAATTGCTGGAAGGTGAACCTAATCAAACCCAGGAAACCCTATTTTGGTATCCTGTAAATTGGCTAAAATAGATGGAAAAATATGATTGAAGAACAACACTAAGGTAACTATATGATAGGAAATAACCAGGTTGACTTCTACAAAAGAAAACCAACAAAAATTGAGGACTTTCTCTCCAGAAAAAAACTGCAATGAAAAGTTTTCATATGAATTTCCGTTTGGGGCAGAAATTTAAATAGTGAAAATTTGTGGCTAAAACCCAAACATTTCCATTTTGGAAATGCTGCCATGGCATTTCATGGGAGTTGTAGTTCATGTGCCTTATCTCCTCTTTGGGGTGTGTTTTTATGAGGCACAACACAAAATCTCCCTGTGTGTGGGGGAGGAAGAGAGATTTACATATCAGTTGAAAGTTCATTCCCTTTGAGTTTCATTGATGTCCTCTTTTTTTTTTTTTTTTTAAATGATAGAATAGCAATAGTGATAGCCAATCTCCCTTCTCTGTGCCATTCATTGTAACTTTATCATGTCTCTTCTGTCCACCACTGATAGGCCCTTGCCTGGGATTATCTGTTCAGTTCTCCCATCTCAAAAAGGATGTAGCAAAAACAGTGGAGAGTTAGAGCTGTGTAACGAGTGGCTTGGAAAAATCTTTCATACGTGAAGAGTAAACCAAACAATCCTTTTTTCTCCAAAAATAAGCAAATAAGAGGGTACGTGGTTGTTACACAAAATGAGCATGTAATGTATTCCTATTCATTTCCCCCTGACTCCTAATATGAGGAGTTAGACAATAAAATTGAAAGACAATACATTTAACATTGATTCTTGTGGAATGTACAATTTGTCTGTGGAATTTGGTGTCACAAGAGATCCTGGTTTAGTAGGATTTCAGCAAGGACTTGACAATTGAAAGGGTAACAAACCTCTAGTTGCCTTGAATAAGATTGGTTAGATGTTTTTGGAAGGGATATTTCCGGTATAAGACGATCGCTAACTGAATAACTGTAAACTTAAACAATAACAAATGGTCTGGTAGCACTTTTAGTCCATTTGTTGTTTTTTAAGTTTATCCTGTGCAAACTAACTCGGCTACCCCCTGAAGCTTCTGAATAACTATAGCAAGAAAAGTGATAGAAATGTAGCCGTGTTAGTCTGGGGTAGCTGAAGCAAAATGCAGGACAATGTAGCACTTTAAAGACTAACAAGATGGTTTATTAGATGATGAGCTTTTGTGGGCCAGACCCACTTCCTCAGATCAAATAGTGGAAGAAAATAGTCACAACCATATATACCAAAGGATACAATTTTAAAAAAATGAATACATATGAAAAGGACAAATCACATTTCAGAACAGGAGGGGGATGCAGGTGGGGAAAGAAAGGAAGGAAGGTAAGTGTCTATTCACAGACACTTATCTTCCTTCCTTTCTCCACCCCCTGCATCCCCCTCCTGTTCTGAAATGTGATTTGCCCTTTTCATATGTGTTCATTTTTTTAAATTGTATCCTTTGGTATATATGGTTGTGACTATTTTCTTCCACTATTTGATCTGAGGAAGTGGGTCTGGCCCACGAAAGCTCATCATCTAATAAACCATCTTGTTAGTCTTTAAAGTGCTACATTGTCCTGCATTTTGCTATAGCAAGGAAGTTCCCTTTTTGGGTATGGTAGTCTGTAACCACCTACTGTCTGCTTTTCTGCCTCTTCCTCTGAAGCATGTGCTACTGATCACTTTAAGAGACTAGGCTTATTGGTCTGATCCATTGTGACAACTCCCATGTTATTTAGGATAATGAAATTTCCAAGAAGACAGAGCAAACTAAGATAATGAATTGCTTTCTTAGGGCTTGTCTGAACAGCGGGATCGAAGTGTAGTGTTGGAACTCCCCCCTGTGGACACCAACTAATAGGTTCCTCGTTCACGCTAACAGTCTTCTTCAAACAGGGTCACGTTAATGTGAACAGGAAACCTTTTAGTTCATGCCCGCAGCATTTTCAAGGGGGAGTTACAGTGCAGCACTTAAGTGCACTTTGTGGTTTACACTGCAGTGATCAAGCTTAGTAACTTTGCTGATCCCCTCTTAAGAACTGAATTTTTAAAAGGGTAAATAACAGTGCGTGCTAAGCCATTTGCAGGCCTGCCTAACATCACAGTACTCTTACGTACACAGTCTGCCGCATTGAAGGCATGTTCCTTGCAGAGCAAGAGGCTAGCTGTAACTCTGCTAGTCAGTGCACAAAGTAGCATGCTTCTAAATGACACAGCAGTGATGGCAGTCAGCCAAGGAAGACCAAGTTGCTTGTGTATGAACATCTGCTGTCTGGAGAAGAGTTCTGGTTGATTGAAAAAGGGACTTACTTGTAATGTGTCTCTTAGCATGATGGACTAAAGCAAGACTTTTCCTTAAATGACTTGTATAATAAACATGTGGAATGCTGTTGAACTAACCACTTAAATCTGCTTTTAAAAATACATTCTCGTCTGCCTGGGGAGTTTGACCATCTGCTAATAGTTTGCATTTGTATTGTTTGTTTTCCTAATGACTCTCTAGAGTTGGAGTTGACCCAGATCAGGATCCCCCACCCAGCAATGACAGCTTTCAAGTCTTACAAGGAGTAAGTAATTAGATAACTTTCTTTCTAGGCTGGTGATATAATATAAAAGGGGATAATCAGAAAGGATGTGAAGGGTACCTGACATTGGTGAATATTTTTTCTATGATGTATGAATGTATATGCTGATGACCATGGTGCCTGACGTAAACATTTCAGGTTACAGATGTTGATATAGGCTTCTAAATTTTGTATTTCAAACCTGGATCTTTATAAGAGCACCAGAAAACTCCCCAGATCTGTGAGGTTTTTTGCATGCTGTCTAATGGCTCTGCATTCTTTTTTAAATGTTCTAACCAGTCCTTTTTAGGAGCTGTGGATAGAGAGTAGTCCGCATGACTTCCATTCAGTGACTGTTACCAAATACTGCACTTTTAACTATGTAAAGTAGCTGCAGTCAAAGTATCAAATTTGATCTTTGGTCTCATCTACACGGAGCATCAATGAAAATAGGGGGGGGAGGTGATTTCTAAAAGGTACCAACATGTCGCACACCATCAGGTCCACGTAGACCCTGCAGGCACAAACTTAAAGTTACCTTGTGCTCATCACTATGGGCAGGGGCCGACAAATTACAGAAAACCCTACTCGCCAGACAAAAAAGGGACTTGCCACTCTCCCCCACAAAAAGTATTTTTTTAAATGGTATAAATTCCTAATAAGAATAAGAACAGTGATTACTAATAAGTTATTAATAAATATCACCCAAGTTATTAATAAATATCTTATAAACCTCTACCTTTTCTCTCTACTGCCATGTCTCCTCCCTTTGCTCTATAAGCTCCCCTGGTGCCTGCCGCCCCCCAACCCCTCACCCTCCTCTGCTGTCCTGACTCCTGCCCTTCTCACTGTCCTCAGCCTTTCTGAGACCTGCCCCCCTCCTCCAGCCCTTCTCTCTTCCCCCCCGTGCCCACTCCTCCAGTAGCCCCACTCTGATCATTTGAGCTACCCCTCCTCATCCCCTCTCCTAACACCTCCCTCTACACACCTGCCCTGCCTCTCTCCTCTGGTGCTGGTCCCTCTCCTGCAGGTGTCTGACTCCTCCAGTAGCCCCACTCTGATCATTTGAGCTACCCCTCCTCATCCCCTCTCCTAACACCGCCCTCTATACACCTGCCCTGCCACTCTCTCCTCTGGTGCTGTTCCCTCCCTTGCAGGTGTCTGCCCTTCTGCTTCACCCCCAGAATCCCCTGGCACCTGCACCCTCCTGATGTCTCCCCCTTCCCTCACTGCCTCTGCCCTCTTTGCCCTCTTTTTCCCTGATATCCACCCCCTCACCACTCTCTGCCCCTTTTCCCCTCATGTCCCTGTGCCCTCACAGATGCCTTGCTCTATCCCCGCCTTCCTCATGCCTACCCCTTCTTTCAGTTCTTCTCCCAGCACCTTCCCTTCCCCCCCTAGCCTCCAGTGCCCTCTACCCTCTCCTCTCCCAGCATCACCCTGTCCCCCCCTCCCACTGCCACCTCCCCCCCTGCCCTTTTCCTCATTGTCTCCACTTGGCCCCCTGGCATTTGCCTGTCCTGCACCCCTGTCCCTTGGTGCCGTCCCCTTTCCTCCTCTTCTTCTCCTGACCTCCTCCCCTCCTCTTCCCTCAGCACAAGCCCTTTCCCCATATTTTCCCCTCCCCCCCCCACGGCCCAGCCTAGCCCCTTCCCCTCCCCCAGGGCCAGCTCTAAGTTTTTTGCTGCCCCAAGCAAAACATTTTTTGGCTGCCCTCCCCTTTTTTGTTCTTTTACACGTTTGCATTTTGCAATGTTTTATTTTTTTGTTTTCATTTTTGTCCCGGCATTTTAGCCCTATAAATAGCAAATAGCATTTTCATTTGTTTTTTTCCCATAAAGGCAAAAGCGCTTCAAGTGAACTCCCCCTTTCGCTCGCTGCTGGGTCACAGCAGCTTTTCCCCGCCCTGTCCAGCCCCTCCCTATGGGCAAGCACCCTTCACTCCTGATCCACAGGGGGAGCAGGGTGCAGGGACAGCACAGAGCCAGAGGGGTGCAGGGAACAGTGAGGGAATACGGGGGTGGCGCGGGGAACGGGAAGCACAGAGCCAGAGGGACGCAAGGATCGGGGGGAACAGGGTGCAGGGTAGGCACGGAGAATGGAACGCAGGGAATGGAAGGGCAGAGGGATCGGGGTGTAGGGGCAGTGCAGGGAATGGGCAGCACAGAGCTGGGGGGGCAGGGATCAGCAGGAGAAGGATGCGGTGGAGGCACGGGGAATGGGACGCAGGGAACGGGAGGGGCAGAGGGATCATGGTCTAGGGGCAGTGCAGGGAACGGGCAGTACAGAGCTGGGGGGGCAGGGATTGGGGGAGCAGGTTGCGGGATGCAAGGGCGGCGCGGAGCCAAAGTGTTGCAGGGAAGAGGAGTTTACTCCCATTTTGAATCCTCACTGCAAGCGGCAGTCTAAAGGCTGATCTTTCGCTAAAGAAAGCCTTTTCCGATAGATCCCTTATGCCTCGTAAAAAGAGGTATACAGGATCTATCGGAAAAGGCTTTCTTTAGCGAAAGATCAGCCTTTAGACTGCCGCTTGCAGTGAGGATTCAAAATGGGAGTAAACTGTTTGATCAACTGACCTCTGTAGCTTCTTGATTGACAACTGCCTCGTACAAAGTCATCTGCTTTATTTGAGCTGTTAAAGGGGAAAAACAAAGTGCACAACAGAAAACAGTAATAGAGCCCTGTGCATGCTCCTGGTAGAAATCTAGTATCTCAGCTCCGTAAAATTCAGAGAGCAGAATGCTAATAGTTAAACTGTCTATACACAAACATCAGACAGACTGCTCTTGGAGTGAAGTTTTTGTTAGCTTTATCTTCTGTTGTGTTGTGTCCTGTTGCAAGCAAAAGACAATTAAAAAGAACTTGTTGAGGGAGCATCTTTAGTTTTTGCAGAAACTAAACTACATGTCAGTGTTGGGCTCCTTGTAGGTATTAGTTCAAATCATATAAGTCCATTGAAGTCGTTGTATGAAATGTTTTAAGACTATGGGATTTAGGTGATACAAAGATTGAATTTGACCTTTTTGTGTCTGAAAGGTCTCAAAATAGACCCAGTCCTGCAACAGAAGTCTCTCTTTCTGCCTTTGCTGGTCTCTGAATGCTTTAACCAGTCCTAAGGAAGACGGTGAAATCAGGATAAGACCCAAGAGTAGATGGAAGTGCAATGATGTAAAGTTCTTAGCCAGCTCAGGCTATACTGATCCGCATCTGAGAAACTGCTTGCAGCAGGAGTCATTAGAGGGGGAAAAAAACAAGAAAAGTAGAGGAAACTAGGTGTTAACTCTACGTTCTGTCCCACACAAACGTAAAGCATTTATTTGACCTGTTTTTATGGCTGTGTGTATTGTATCTTTAAAGAAAAACCATTAGCTATAGTTCCCATGGCATTTCTCCCCTTATTTTACAGGCCCAAGATCAAGAATAGATTTATCATTTGGGAGGGGACCAATAAGCTGTTGGTTTAAAAGTCTAGCTTTCTGTGAGGATGCCACCACCTTTTCTAGATTGGAAGCACATGGAGGTGGTAGAGTGGTTTCAGTATTGTTTCTCCAGAGATGTCAATTGCTTGTGCTGCTGCTATGGCATTAAACATGGGCAACCTTGTGTTTAATGTTTCTCCAGAGATGTCAATTCCATGTGTGTACACGAAGCAGAATTGGACCCATATGTTTATTACATGCATTAAAAAGATTCTATTTAATATCAGGGGTGGGCCCAGCCTCTTCCCAGTGGGAAGCCTGAGGTGGACTAGACAGAATAGGGGGCTGTGCCTTACCCCCCTGGCCATGTCAGAGGGCAGAAGCTGGAGCCAGGCAGTTGGGGTCTGTTGCTGTGATGGCTAGTGCCATGGTGCTGGAGGCCATGGCACACCCCTGTCTCCTCCTCCTGCTTGGCCGCAAGGTTGCCTCTGCTTCTCAGCTCCCCTCCATCCTTCAGCTGCTCGCAGGCTGTAACAGCTGCTCAGCTGGAGGAACTTGGCTGTGGCACCAGCAGATCTGTCAGGAAGCCATGACCATGGAGGGTGTGACCCAGGAGCCTGTACTGAAACAGGTCAGCCCAGGCCACTATGGAGAGCCTTGTGCCTTCCACCTCCATTGGGTGATGCATCCTGCCTCCCACTTGGCCTTATTTATGCACTGCTGCTGCATGCTGGGTGTCCAGCTCTGAAGGCAGCATTGCCACCACCACCAGCAGCAGAGATGTGTCTGCACAGTTAGACCTTAGCGCTGGGAGGGTTACTAAGGAGATGGGGGGATGGGAGCAAATTTTGGAATGTCTTTAGCTCCCACAGGGCACCTCCCCAACACTGCCCCTGTTTAATGCTTCTGAGACTACATCTGATTTAGCATTTATCAAATCCTTCAAAGCCTTGCCCAAACATGGCTTATCAAGCATACGTGGATTAACTGAGAAGCATATTTGTTCTGTTTGCTCACGGACAGAGCATAATTTTATTTCTGAAATTCATCAGGTGTGGTAAAGCCTCTTGTTCTGGCCATGAAACAAGAGTCTTAAGGCAAAGATAGCTTATAAATCCAGAGTAAAGGAATCCAAAGTCAAGATGAATAGGAACAAATCTTCAAACATTCCAGTCCATTTTATTCCACAAAAATGTTCAAACCGTTGGGCCTAATGTTTAAGCATGTTTATCCTGGAAGGGTTAGCTCTCTGAGGCAGCATCAAGTTTTTAGCTTTAGAGTTTCACCCAATGCTTCAGCTGCATCAGCTGAGTCACAAGAAGTGAAGTGACTCTTCCCCAAAGATACGCGGTGAGTCATCAGTCATTTAACTAGTCTTAGGACAAGGAGTGTTTTTTATCATTAAAGTAATTAAGGACGAATTTCACACCAGTGCATGGGCCCAGGATATGCAGCAGACCGCTTCTGTGCTGAACCAGGTGGAATGCTCCTTCACTGATATGATTGGGCATTTTTTCAGACCCTCTTTTTTAAAAACCAGTTGAGAAGTCCCGTGGCCCCTTAGAGTCAAACAAATATGTATCTAAAATCAGATAAGTGGGTTTTGCCCACAAAAACTCATGATAATTACATATGTAAACAATGGAACTGGAAAGAGTCTCGAGAGGTTATCAAGTCAAGCCCTCTGAACTCATGGCAGGACCGAACACTAATCCTAGACCATCCCTGACAGGTGTTTGTCTAACCTGCTCTTAAAAATCTCAAATGATGGAGATTCCACAACGTTCCTAGGCAATTTATTCCACTGTTTAACCACTCTGACATTTACAAAGTTTTTCCTAATGTGAAATCTAAACCTCCCTTGCTGCAACTTAAGCTCATTGCTTCTTGACCTATCATCAAAGGTAAAGGAGGATAATTTCTCTCTTGCCCCCCTGTAACAACCTTTTAGGTATTTGAAAACTGTGATGACCCCTTACGGTGTTTTCCAGACTAAATAAAACCATTTTTTAAATCTTTCCTTGTAGATCATGTTTTCTATACTTTTAATCATTTGTGTTCCTCTTTTCTGAACCTTCTCCAATTTGTCCACATACTTCCTGAAGTATGGCACCCAGACTGGAAACAGCACTCCAGTTGAGGTTTAATCACTGCAGAATACATTGGAAGAATTACTTCTCGTGCCTTGCTTAGCCTAGTAAGGTCCATCTCGCCCAGTAGCCTGTCTCCTTTTTTTTTTTTTTTTTTTTTTTTTTTTTTTTTTTTTTTTTTTTTTTTTTTTTTTTTTTTTTTTTTTTTTTTTTTTTTTTTTTTTTTTTTTTTTTTTTTTTTTTTTTTTTTTTTTTTTTTTTTTTGCAATAGTGTCACACTGTTCACTCGTATTTAGCTTGTGGTCCACTATGACACCTTCCATAGTCCACCTTCCTTGGCAGTCATTTCCCATTTAGAATGCATACAATTGATTGTTTCTTCCTAAGTGGAGTACTTTGCATTTGTTCTTATTGAATTTCATCCTATTTACCTCAGGCCACATCTCCAGTTTGTTCAGATCATTTTGAATTACAATCGTATCCCCCAAAGCAGTTGCAACTCCTCCCAGCTTGGTATCATCCACAAATTTTGTATGTGTGCTCTTACTCATTTGGGAGTCTCAGCTATGCCATTAGCTGAATTTCTGATTGTTCCGAAGGACTACAAAGCATAGATAGAAAAAGAGAGAATTTCATCTCTTTTATGCCTGTGGCCTGCTTTAAAGCCCGCTGAAATCAACGGAAGAATTTCCATCGACTTTGGTAAGTTTTATGACTGGAAGCCCTAAAATAGAGAATAGTGAGTTCTGCTCACTACTGACTCTGGTTGGTGAAATGAGAGAGACACATAACCCAGTGTTTCTTGAAACTTCTATTTGGGCAGGGCTTCTATAATGGAAGGAATGCTCTGTTGGAGTGCTGTGATGTGCCCAGTGTGGGCACTCAGGGCACTCCAATCCAGGACTGCTTTGCAAGTGGGGCACCCCTGAGAACTGTCTGTCCGAGGTGGGGGTCAGGTCCCTTTAAGCACAGCCTGAGGCAGCAGCTCCACGCTCTTAAGTCCTCCTCTGATGCCCTGCCGGCACTGCTTCCGGCCATCCTTAAGCCCGGTTCAGGGTCCACTTAATGTGGACATGCTAGTTCGAATTAGCAAAACGCTAATTCGAACTAGTTTTTTAGTCTGGATCCGTTAGTTCAAATTAGCTTAGTTCGAATTAACTAATTCGAACTAAGTTAGTTCGAATTAATGTTGTAGTGTAGACATACCCTAAGATGACACAGGACTCATCGTTAGTTTTAATGTTACCAACTAACACAGCTACCTCTCTGAGACTTTTTTTTAATGATTCCTCTCTCTCCCCAGTGCTATAGAAGTGTAGTGTAACTCATTTGAATGGGGATTGCACTCATCCTGTCACTTGAGTGGAATTTTTGGGTGGAAGTATGTGTTTGTGTTTCCAGAAATAACAAAGTACCTTTTGTCCTTTCATTCTCAGGATGGTCCAGATTCTGAAAGGGGAAACCGGACAAAGCAGGAAAGTGCTTGGCTCTTCAGGCTATGGTATAGCTTTGATCACAAGTATCCTTTTAACAAGCAGTGCTTAGCATCAAGATATGGACGTTCATGTAATGTTCCATTTCTTTCCAATGAATTACTCTCTGGATTTAAGGTTTTGAAGATGGGATTTTATACATGTCATTCAGTAGGGGGTCAGGATAGGTTTTATGCACATGAATGTGCAGTTAATTTCCTTCATTATGACATGAGATATTTTACACTTGCTTGGGGAGAGAAAAGGAATTCAGCATCAAGAGCAATGACAGCAAAACGGTTCAAATGTTCTAGATCCAGAAAGACAGTGATCCATTTCACAAAACAATCCTCCTTTTTGCTAGAGCCCAAAAAACAAACTAGCTGTCAAGATCTTCTTGAACCTATGGTGTCCAGCTCAGTTACTTTGCTTTGAATAGCCACACCGCTTCATTTGATGGAGCCCTTAGGGGATATCCAGTAGATGATATGAGATGTCTAGGACACTGAAGTTCCATCTAACACATCCACCCTGTGGAAAAAGTCCCTGGCTACCCTAGCGCTCTGTCCAAGCAGAAGAAGTCAGTGCTCAGGGAAGGAGGGAGGCACATGCACAGTTAGAGGATGTAGCAGCTTCCACAGTAGCCAGTGGGAGCCCAAGACTTTTGAAACATCAGGCCGCTTATTTAGGAGCCCAGATATGGACTTAAGAGCCTGACTCTAGGCACTCAGGTTGGAAAGCCTTGGCTTAGGCTTCTCGACAGCTATCCCTGTTCTTGGGTCACGTCCAATGTGGAGAGTTTATACTGAGGCACTTGAAATTTCATGAGTCAACTCCTGCCCTCCAACATGGGCAACCCAACATTCCTTGTGTGTACCAGAAGCAGAATTTGATACATATGTTTATTACATGCCTTTCTAAAGCACCCTTCACTGTGCTATTTATGCCATCTTGCTTTTTTTCTATATAAAAGGGATGGCTCGCAGTTGGGCATATAGGTCTACTGCCTCTCCTCCTTTTGCAGTTCCTGTGATAGGTACTCTGGGCACTTTATATACTTAAAAATAATTTGACTTGCTGTGTGAGGTCCTGCTTAAAAGCAAAGGGGGGATGATGACCCAGTGCCCAGATACATTAAGAAATAGCCAGGATAGCTGGGTGGCAGACACCTGGGTTCAGTTCCTGCTCTGCCACAAATTCCTTGTATGACCTTGGGCGAGTCACTTAGAATCTGCCTCAGTTCCTGACCTGCAGAACCAGGGATAATGGCACTTCCCTTTTGGGAGAAGATAAGATCCATGTGTGATTTTGAAGTTCTCCAACAAGCAGAGACCACATACACATAGAGAGCAATAGAGCTCATACCCTCTGTCTCAGTTAAATATGGGCTCAGACCCTCCAGACCTGCAGTGTCCTAAACCCTAGATTCAAGCAACGCTAGCACAGTTGGCATGTGGACGTAAGGCGGGTTAGGCTTGTCTTCACTACACGGTGGATGGACACTGCAGTGTCCGCTTAGATGCGATACTTCGACCCCTGAGTGCCTTCCCATTGATGCTGGTACTCTACCAGGATGAGAAGAGTAGCCGGAGTGATGGGAGAGTGGCCCCGGTTGACCTTACCACATGGATGGCACCGTGGTAAGTACGTTCACTTCAGCTACACTATTTGCAAAGCTGAAGTCACGTAGGTTAGATCAATGTGGGGTTTAGTGTAGACCAGTCCTTAGGCTCAAGCCTGGGCACACGTTGCTATGTAGACATAATCTAAAGAATCACGTATGCTGGTTTGCTGAAATCAGGCCTGCCGATGGGGATGGGGGAGGGGAGTTGCCCCAGGCCCCTTTGAATTGCCACCAGAGCATCAATGCACGGCTCCTCACAGCTTTGAAGGTCAGAGGAGAGGCTTGCAGTCTGGGCAGCACCAAGGCCTGGCTGCCTCTGGCCCTGTCCCTTCCACCCAAGGCTCCACCCCTTCTGGGGTGAGGAGTTGTCCTGCCACACCCACACCCACACACCCTTGCCCCGGCTGTCGGCCCCACTGGTTGAAATCCTTGTCAATGTTTGTAATTCTAAAGAGAGAACTTTTTCAAGTGGTTAGAGCCACTGTCCAAGTATCAGTAGGTCAATTTTTAGGCCAACTACTTTGCTAATACTGCTACCCAACATTCTTTTGTAAGACTCACTGTGTGAAGAGAGCTGGGAAATGAATCAGAGGATGTAGTAGTGAGTAATTGCCTTTTAAGAAGGAAGCAGAGCTGACTAAACTACCCTCTCTCTCTCTCTCTCTCTCTCTCTCTCTCTCTTTATGGATGCGCCTTTGTAAACTTTAGGGTTGACTGGCAGTGTTTATTTCCTCTTGTCTAATCCTGGCACAAGCACAATCCCCAGCAGGTGCAAGAGAAGGAAAAGCATTAACTTAAAGCAACTTCATTCCCTCTAGTAAAGTTGAATTTTGAATGTAAGAGATTGATTTTTAATGCACTTGTTTGCTCAGTAGTGACTAGCAGGCTGTGAAAAACTCTTGGCACGCTTTGTGATGATGAAACGTTGGAATCCAGATTTAGGATTTATGTTGCTATTGGGCTTTTTAAAAATTTCACATGGAGTACAGATAAAAATGTGTCCTTCAGCACTGATGATTGAGGGTAGGGGGCAATAGGTTTCTGAGGTATACAGTTCAGTACCAGTATTTCATTGCTTATTGGAGTTTAATACACTGGGTTCATTTCAAAGCCTGTCACCTCTGAATCCCAAGCTTAAAGTAGTCTCAGGATAGCTCTCTCAGTGAATGAAATGTTATTCAAGTGTTTCACAAGTGAAAAGAAAAGACAGGACTATGCAGCATTCACTTTTAGTCCTTTGGGTACGATATCCATCTTTTTGCACTTGGATAGAAAGATGATGTCTGTTTGGATCTGTGCACATTTTTTCATATGGTTGATGGATTTCCATTCCAAACAGCTAGCTGTAGTGCCTTGCATGTAGAATAGTAATAGAGATGTAGCCGTGTTAGTCTCGTCTTGCTGTTTTGTTTCACCAAGACCAGACTAACACGGCTACATCTCTATTACTATTCTACAAGTGAAAAGGAGATTCTTCTCCTTGAAGTGATGATCCCTACCGTGACCCATCAGTAGAATACACGAAGGAGTCTTTCAAATTGATCTGTGAGGGAAGACTGAAAGAATTGGACTTGTTTAGTTTGGAAAAGAGAAGACTGAGAGGGGGACATGATAGGAATTTTCAAGTATCTAAAATGGTGTTACAAGGAGGAGGGAGAAAAATTGTTCTCCTTGGCCTCGGGGGATAGGACAAGAAGCAATGGGCTTAAATTGCAGCAAGGGAGGTTTAGGTTGGACATTAGGAGAAACTTCCTGTCAGGGTGATTAAACACTGGAATAAATTGCCTAGGGGTGTTGTGGAATCTCCATCTGGAGATATTTAAGAGCAGGTTAGACAGACACCTGTCAAGGATGATACAGACCGTGCTTAGTCTGCCGCGATGCAGGAGACTGGACTTGATGATCTCTCAAGGTCTCTTCCAGATCTAGTATTCTATAATTCTATGAAATTTGCAGCCATGGAAATTGTGACATGGACCAGTAAATAGGATCTTCCCTGGCCTCTCCTACCCCAGCTCTGAAGGAAGAGCAATAGCTGCTGGCCAGGGCCCCAGCTCTGAAGGCAGCATTGCCCACCAGCAGCTGTCAAGAAGTAAGGGTGACAATAACATGCCACACTTAGCTCTCTGCAGCTGCTAGAGGGCAGCACTGTCGTGAGAGATGGACTCCCAGGCAGCAGCCACCAATCTCCTAGCACTCCTGCTTCAGGCAGCACAGGAGGAAGGGTGGCATAGGCTTGTGGCCCCCTTTTGGGTCCAGGTGCCTAAAATACGAGATGCTGTGGAAAAATCACACATTTTGCTTGGGTTGCAAGATCCATCCCTCCCGTTTCATTGCCATGAATATCTGAAGGTTCCACCAGCTTGATGGCAATATTCTCCCTTTCCTCATCACAAGAGCCACAGCCCTCTACTAGGAGAATGTGGGAGTGGAAACGGGATTGCAACAGGCTCATGGGGGAAAAATCAGTATAGGGGAAAATCTTTTTCCACTTTGGTATGAGGTTTCTTAAAGTCTCCCCCCCCCCCCCCCCCCCCAACTTGCAGTCTGTATATACAGAGTATTTGAACTGGCTATGCATTAATGACTGGATTGTTAATATTAATATGTATTGTTTTTGCAGTGGTTTTCAAGCACATCTGTTTTCCTTAATGTTTTTTAAAAGTTACTTAAAGCCCATTCTCACCCATAGTGGCCCTCCACTAACTACAACCCTTCCAAGTTGCTGCGGACTACTAGCCCGTTGTTTGACTACTCCACAGGTTTATGATGTAAGTATAAGGGAAAAGTATTAACTTCCTTTTTCTACCTTCCACTACAAAGTTTCCTTTACAGGACAAATTACATAACTAACAAAGATGTTGCAAGGGCTGCTTTGTGCTAAATTATGACAACAAAAGGCTTGAGACCCAACGTATAGGGCAATATCTTCTGGTATGAACCAGAAGACTCCAATGACTTCAATGGCACCAAACTTATGTATGCCAGCTGAGTCTATGATACTGTCAATTCATACACAAATAGTATTTACGTTTCCTGATAATAGGAGACTATGAAGATCAATCAACAACCTATTTACTGTTTAATCCCTTAAGTGTCCCTTCTGGTTTTAACTACAAAATTATTAAGACAAAGGCAAGATTTTGGTTCGTTATCTTTGGGGTTGCATTGTAGCATTTCTTAGGGTCAAATGATCTACCTTAAGCAGGCAGTCTGGAGAACTGGGTAAAAAATATTTCTCCTCAGTCCGACACTTTATTAAGGTTCTGTTTATAAATAATTCATGAATTGTTAATAAATTATTATAGATTGATTGGCCAAAAGGTCAGTATGCTGCTTTTAAAACAATGTTTTCATAACTTTTAAAACAGCCAGCCTCTTCTACTGGAGTTCTGCAACAATCAAACTCATACACTCAAACCATTTCTAAATGGATCCTTACTATATTAAATATGACCAAATTCAAACTTTCAGGCTCCCTGGTGTCTAAATGTGTGCGCTGTTATATGCACTTTTGAGGTAGACTCTTAAGAACTCTGCTGTATCTAGTAAAGAACTACAACGCTCCACCAGAAGTTTTGAAAAACTTTCTTCCAACATCTCTTCACATACTGTAAAGTCAGACTTCAGATCTTAAAAAGTTTGTGAACTCCCATGATGCTAATTGCTGTCTGTCAATAAGTATTAAAAGTGGCCTTGTTCCCATCTAAGGCATGCCATTGGGAATCTTAAAATAGGTTTTAGAATGGAAGGCTTCCATCAAACCAATTAGTACACTGTAAGCAGTCCAAGCAGCTGTTCTTTCAGGATTTCAAAGATTACTGTAGTTCAGCTTTACCTTTTATCCATTCACTAACGATCTAAATAGTGGCATGTGTAGATCTTGGATTTCATTTAGCTCTGCAGTCTAGCTTTATTTTCTATTCTTGCTCTTACATAATTTAAACTTTCAAATGTACTGCTGTAGCAGGTACTTACCATTTTAATTGGATCAGTACAGTTTTTTGGTTTTCTCTTGGGGCATTACCCTAATCATGCTGTTTGTATATCCATAATTCTCAAGAGGAACTAACTTTTAATCTATAAGCCAAATTGGCCAGTCATGTAACTCTTGTACTAGAAAAAGCAATACTGAGAGACGCTCAATCTTTCAGTCCTTTTTCTGTTGCACTATTTCTACATGGCTTGTTTCTTTGGTGGCATGTAGTGTACATGCCCATGTAGCCTCCTTCACACAGGTAGACCATGAGACACAGTGTAGGTCAGGGGTGGCCAACCCGTGGCTCACGCCACATGTGGCTCTTCACCCCTGAACGTGCGGCTCGCAAAGCCTCCCCTGTGGCTCACAAAGCCGTCCATGCGCCCCTACAAATGGGCCCTGGCTCCCTGTGCTTGCCGGGTGCAGGGGAACCGTCTGGCACAGCAAGATGGCATCAGGTGGCTGGAGCCTGATGTGGCCAAAAAACCTAACCTGTGGTTTTTAAAGGGGCAGTGTGATTTGTTTGTTTGTTTTCTCAACAATTCTGGTGCGGCTCTTCACATTTTTTCTGCCACTATTTTGGCTCTCTTAGTTTAACGGGTTGGCCACCCCGGTGTAGGTGAGTAAAAGCACTCCTGAAGGGCATGGGTACGCACTCCAGTACATACTTCCAACCACTCTTTACATGCCCAAGTCATGCTTCCTCATATACACTGCTATTTTTAGCTGCTTAGTGTCCCCTGCCAGAGCCCTTCCCCAGATAGCAGTGAGGAAAGGCCCGGACACCTTCTTGATGCTGGAGCCTTTCCCCGCATTGGCAGCAACAGGAAAAAGCTCACTTAGCAGTGATAGGTTCAGCCTTTCTCCACTGGCTTCCCTCTGCCAGAACCTTTCACTGACACACATTATTATGCACAGCCATGTGGATGTGGTGTGCTTTTCGCTGCAGTACTGGGTGGTATAATTGTAGCCTTAGTGTGTTTCTAAATTCCAATTTAGGAGGGGGAAAAAAAACCAAAATCCGTAGGCTTTAGTCACTGGTGTCTCTCCCAGATCTCTGAATGCCCGAGTCATTCCAGGCATATCCTTATGCTGCAGCTTTCAGTTGATGCATGTAGTTCTGCGACAGCAATGTAAGCTCTCCAGATGATCATTCACTTCAAACCAGGGGACATTTTTCTCCCTTTCCTACCAGGTGCAGGAGATTCAGTGGAAGCACAGTCCTGTCTGTTGTGGATCAAACAGATCATCCTGTAATGCATAGGCCCTTAGTTTAGCACACTTAATTGAATGTAGTTGAGAGGATTAAAGAATAAATGACTTACCTAAAAATGCATTACTAACTCAGCCAAAAACTTAGTACCACAAGGGGAAGTAAAGCTACTTATTAAACTGATCTCCAGTTCTGAAATCTCATGTAGGCCTTTCTCTAGGGAGATGAGGATCTTCAGGTTGTGGTGCGAAAACCGTGCACAAGCACATAGCTTTAACCTTCCACCTTTTTGTTGGTGCTCCTTCTCTAAGGTCATGGGCAGCCACCCCTTTCTGTAGTTTCCATACGGACTGGTTGTAAAATTACCTCACCAGTTTCATATTGCGGATACTTCCCCTTGTGCACCAGATGCTTTTTAATTAAATGAAAAGAAAGACAGTCCCTGGATGGCAACCCCCTTTGTATGTAGAATGCACAAAATGGCTTCCAACTTAGATATTTATTGTCCTTCTTACCACTCACGTGGTTTCTGTGTGAGATGCTGAGTCAGCATACCTGGTTTAGGTAGAGTGAGATATTATTCAAAAAGCAGTCTGCATTGGTGTAACTCTGCTCCCACAGAAGTTCTCCCATTGACTCCTGGGAAAGAGAGGCAAGCCAAGGCTAAGTGTTTCTGGAAAGCCCATACAGAAATTTTAATCTTGACTTCCTCAAATGCAGAGGTTTACTAACAAGTGGGAGTAATGGAATAAACTGTAATTTTAGGAGAACTTTGTCAGACCTCCTGCACTGAAGGCAATTCTTTTAGAAAATAAACTAGTCAGAGTAACACTGGTCTTTGCCTTTTAAGTCTCTTTAAAAATATCTGAATAGAAGCTTATAATATGTGCTTTTACTTTAAACTAGCTTATCCTATCAAATCTTTCTGTGTCTATTTGGAAACAAAGGTGTGTACTATTGCCTGCTCATCCTAATGAAGCTACATTTTATCAAAGGTTTTCTGGTAATAGCTTACTTGATTGGACACTCATACTTTTGATGCCAGGATGTGCTCAGGGGCATTGCTGGTATAAAACTAGCACAGGGAACTAAGTTATTTTTCTGGGTAGTGAAAACCTGGCAATAGGTTTTTACTATACCCGGACAAAATATTTCAAATGTTAAAATTTGGAAAGTCTTTTTTCCTTGAAATGTTGACAAACGGGAATAAAATAAAGCAGAAAATCTAAGTTTCTTCCCCACTCACGTAATGATGTTTATTGGCTTGTTTTTATACTAGTCTTGCGTGTATTTGGTCTGTAATGGTATACAGAATTTTACTTGATTATTTAATACAAATCTTTTCAAGCAGAGGGCATTCCCCACCCGATATAAGGTAGCACAGGTTTTTATGCTTGTACTACTTGATCTTGTTAGTTACAGTTGAAAACTGTCGTTTAAATTACACGTACTGTTTATTCTGGTAAGAAGTGGTGATAATAGATACAATTAAACTAATTTTAGAGGGAAGCGGGGAGACATTAGTCTACATCAGCAAAAATTGTTAGTGTTTAAATTGCCACAGGACTTGCAGTTGTTTTTTTACAATTTAACTGCAGCAATGGATACAGAAACCTTGTAAAGCTTGCCATGTACATATCTTTTACACTCCCAGTTCTTTTCTAGTAGATAGCAGAGATGATAGCCTGTGTAACTAGTGATCTTGAATAGGTTCTAATATTTTAACAACTGGTAACCCTGGTGTTCTTTTCCCCAGGGTTGTGATAGGGTAAAACTTGACTCCTTAGCCGGACTTGTTCCCAGTGCAGTTCACTGAAGTGACTGCATTGAAGTGTTACGTGAATAGATCAGGGCAGAAGAGCGTATGTGAAAGTGAGTGACACATTGAATGAGTTAACAGTAAAGTAAAATATGTATTTTTTGAATAAATTCAAACTGCTCCCTTCGCAGATGGTAAGGGATTGTAGAGGCCAATGTAGGGTTATTCTTGGAAGAATTTCAAGTCCGCAGGGATCCACTTGGATACATTTCCTGTCGTTCTCAAAAGAATTCTTCATGTTGCCTGGGACGCTTCTGAAGCACAGTAGGTTCATTCACACCTCCTTTCTCCTTGGGAATGTGCAGTCATGGAGTTACATATTAAATGTAGTTGTTAGAGTACATGTTCTATGGAAACAAGTTTCATCGTTTGTGAAGCAACTTTCATAGAAGCCTGGATTGTTCAGGAAAAAATAAATAAATAGTCTGTTAGTTGCAAATGCTAGTGGCAGAGGTGGGTTATAGAAGGCTGTGCTTCTGAAATATCCCAGTTCATCGGATGAAATGGGTTTTGCCTATGAAAGCTCCTGATTCTGTATATATTGGTTAGTCTCTAAGATGCCACAGAGCTACTTGTGCTTCTTAAATAAGTGGTGAAAACTCCTTTTCTTGTCCTAAATCTGATCAGCTGGCAAAATCATATCACTGGAAGCCAACAGCAATGCAGGAACTGCCGTGCAGGATCAGACACATGGCCCACCTAGTCTGTCTCCAGCAGTGGTCAACATTGGATGCTTCAGGGGAAGATGAAAGCTCTATAC